TATACAATGGATACTTCTGTGTACATGACCCATTGTCCCACAGAGTACTGTTCATTACTGGCCATCTTCACTGCTACCTTTCTTTTAGGAAAAGAATAATCTGTTCTTTTTACAATGCTTATGTCATGGTCCACAGTGGTTTTGAGGAGCTTTAAAAGTTACAATCTTATAAATTATAAAATATATAAATTATAATTTAATCATCTAAAATTTATGTTCAATAGAGTATGAGGGTAACTATTCATTTTCACTGATATGGGGTGCATGTGTGTGTGTGTGTGTGTGTGTGTGTGTGTGTGTGTGTGTATGTTTGACAGACAATGGGATCTTATTGAAATTAAGAGAAATCTTAAGTAGATAAGCCTCTTCATCTGCAAGCCAGTAATATTAAAAATATTTGCCAACTCCCCCCTTCCCAACATTTACTAAATCTATGTTTAGTGGACTGCCTCGCTGGGTAATCTAATTTTTTTTTCCCCCCAATTATTGGCTATCCCATCAGAAGGAACAGGTAACCCAAACTTCATCTGGGTAGTTTGGTTCACAGTGTTGGCCCTAAGTATTGCTTCCTCTTTAAGGGTTGTTGCCCAAGGCTGTCATGTAAATAATAATAGCTTATCTCCTTCACCTCCAAGAATAAAAATGTCTTGCGGTGCTAGCTGTCTGTCTCTGAGTCAAGGAATACATTTACCTTCTAATAGCAATACATAATCAGGATTCTCTTCTCCTATCTTTCCCTTTACCCGCAAAAGTCTTCATAAAAGGGCATCTTGTTAAGGAAAAAACAGATTCCAGGAAGCTTACTGCCACTGGACAGGTGAACCTAAGTACAGGTGTTCGAAGCAGATCCTGTGAGTTCAAGTGTTTGGAGATCGAGAAGCAAGGCCTCGTCTCCTTGATGCCTGCATGACCGCAGGGATCAGCAGGTGCCTGACAATGACCTTGCCTCTGGCAAACTGTCCCATTTGGAACATGATCATAGCTGGATAGGTTTTGTCTTCTAACTCACTCAGGGTGCAAGTGACAGAAAAACCCAACTCATACTAGCTTAAGCAAGGAAGAAATTTTCAGCCCATGTGACTGAATACCCAATACCAGCCCCCCCCACTTTTGCTCTTTTCTTTCTCCCTCTTTCCTTCCCTTCCTCTCTCATCTCCTTCCCCTCCTCCCCCGCCCCATCATCTCTTTCCCTTTCTCTCCCACCTCATACCCTTGCTATATCTATCGCAGCTCTATTTTCCTTTGTGATGTCATCTTATTTGGCCGTTAGTTTTTCATCAAAGTACATCTTCTCTTTTCCCAACAGTTCTATGAAAGTCTTCGGGTTTAGTTTCCTTGGACCAGTTCAAAGCCCATGCCCTCCCTGAACCAATCAAAATGGCAAAGAAATCGGATTATTCTCAGTAGCCAGTCTGGATCATGGGCCAGTGGCAGCTGGCAGTTCCAGGTAGCTAAGAATGGAAAGGGAGCAGTTCCTCTTCCTGGTAAAATATAGGTTATTTTACCAGAAAAAAGGCACATAGTTACAGGCAAACAAAACCCACTGATCCCATCAAGGTCATTATATAAAAAAGACTCCTGCACCCACATGTTTATCACAGCCCAGTTCACAACTGCAAAGATGTGGAATCAACCCAAATGCCCATAACCGATCAGTGGACAATAACAACATGGTATATATACACTATGGAATACTGTTCAGCTAGAACACTTCAGAAAGAACAAAATAATGTCTTTTGCAGCAACTTGGATGGAATTGGAGACCATTATCTTAAATGCACTAACTCAAAAACAGAAAACCAAACGCCATATATTCTGACTTACAACTGGGAGCTAAACTAAGGATATGCAAAGACAAAGAGAACTGCGTAATGGACATTGGAGACTCAGAAGGCAAAGGGACGGAGAGATCAAAAAAACCACCTATTGGGTGCAGTGTGCACAGGAAGGGGGGATGGGTACCCTTAAAGCTCAGACCAAAAACTGTGTGTGTCCCCCAAAGTTACTGGAATGTTAAAAAAGGAAAATAAGGCCAGGCTTAGTGGCTCAGCCCATCATCCCAGCACTTTGGGAGGCTGAGGCGAGTGGATGGTCTGAGTCTGCAGGTTCGAGACCAGCCCAGGCAACTTGGAGAGAACTCGTCTCCACAATAAATCAGAAATTAGCTGGGTGTGGTAGCTACTTGGTTCCAGCTACTTGGAAGGATCACCGGAGCCCAGCAGGTCAATCTGGGGTGGCCATGAACGTGCCATGCCACTCCAGCTTGGGTGACAGAGTGAGACTCCAGCTCAAAAAAAAAAAAACAAAAACAACTCTAAAAACCAACTGATTCCTTAAATATGAAAGACGTCTGCCTCCTCTTTGTAACAGGTGAACAAATGTCCATGTCCTTCACCCTTCTCAAGTTCAAGGATGATTATAATCATGCTTCCATTTCCAAAAGAAGGAAACTGTACGTACGGGGACCGTGTAGGAAATGGAGGTGAGAGCTGTAGCCAGGCTGCCTGCATGTGCATACCCAGCTGTTCTCTTGAAACTGCAAAGCCTCAAGGCTCTGCTGTTTTGGTCCAGATTACACATTTCAACACTTTATTGTTTGTTTTTGATGTCTGGGTTAGTAATATTAATGCAAAAAGGACCATCTGGGAAAAACATTTTTTTTCCTGTCTCATGTGGGTTCTTTATGGACAAGCAAAAATGCTAATTATTTAAGTAAAAATGTTTTTAATATGGAACTGTGATAATGTTTTGAATAAGGAGTTATATGACCATGCTATCTACTTCTATTCCCAGAAAAACAGAAACAGATTGCTTAGTATTCATGAGGAAAGTATGGAGACTATGGCTAGAAATGCATTTTAGAATTTGCCCCAGATATTAATAAAAAATACTATTCTTTGTTATTAAGCTTTGTTATAGCTTAAGAAAAAAAATACTTTGATAAACTTTTTCAAATGATCTTTTATAGGATCACAGAATTTCTTAAAATATTTTTAGACCAAAAAAGCCACATAAATACAATATTAACTGGGAAAGGGAATTTTTGAAAAAACAATTATTGAAAACAAAAGATTGGCATAATCAAATCAGGTGAGTTCCGGTGATTACTGAGAAATAAAACACCTGGCTGGATTCAACAAGTCATTGAGCATTTAAACGCTTAATAGAGCACACAGAGATGGAAGAAAATGTGCAAATTTGAATTCCCATCTAATTTCAAGTCACAAAATTAGAAATCACACAAATCCTCTTGGCTTCCTGGGCAGAAGTGAGTATCTCAACGCCGCAGGCTATGGCAATATAGTGCATAACCCATGATGATGACCGATTCAAGAGCCTGATTACCAAATGAAAGACAACGTGCAGTGGCAATCTCCAACAGGTCTCTGAGTATGTCAGGCTGCGTCTTGGCCTGCCTAAGAGACCTGGGTAGGTGGCTTTAAAGGATCTGGACCCTCACTGTGCCGACGTCCTCTTTGCCGAAACGCACCTGCCTATGGAGGCCCCCGGCAGGTTCTCTTCCTACCTCTCACCACTACACCTTTCTCCCAATGTACCTAAAAGCAAGTCTCTTACCCTTCTTGCATCCAAACATCATGCTTTTTCCCAGGGTGGAAAAACCTCTCATCAAACCAAAGGGAGATTTAAAACAGGAAACACTGGCACGTATGCGGAGAAAGAGGAACGCTTCTACACTGCTGGTGAGAATGCAAACGAGTGCAACCTCTCTGAAAGACAGTGTGGCAATTTCTGAAAGAACTAGAAATTGACCTTCCCTATGACCCAGCAGTCCCCCCGTTGGGAATATACCTGGAGGAACTCAGATCATTCTACAAAAAAGATCTCTGCACACTTTTGTTTGTTGCAACTCTATTCACAATAGCAAAAACATGGGACCAACCATGTTGCCCATCGAAGCTGGACTGGATTTAAAAAATGTGGTACATCTACACAACGGAATCTTATGCAGTCATAAAGAAGTGCAAATAAATGAACTTCGCAGCAACTTGGATGGATTTGGAGTCGATCATACTCAGTGATGCATCACAGAAAGGAAGAACAGAGTTCCATATGTTCTCACTCATAAATGGACCTTGAACAACTTATAATGCTATAAGAAAGCGATTGGCAGTAGTGGAAAACAGTCAGGGGAGGGGGGTGGGATTGGCAGTTGGGGGAAATTGCTAGGAGAGGGAGGGGCACACCTCATCAACAAGGGTGCCTGCATAATCAATGTTTGTATACCTAACCCTGAATTGTATCCCACATCTTTATAATTAAAAAAATAAAAATAAAAAATAAATAAAATAAAATAGGAAACAGCGACAGATAAAAAGAAAAAGATCATCAGTAAGAAATACAGAAGGCCTTATTCCATCCAAGTGACCAACTTATGGAATGATTTTTTTTCATCAGAGGTTGCCATCTACTTACCGTATAATTAGAATGCTTAACTGTGAAAAATATGCTTGGAAGTTGCAGTTGACTAAGAGGTGTGTTCTCTCTGCATGTTTATGATTCTCAGAGTGAGAATGAGCTTGGGGATTTGTATTATTAACCTGTGTCTCAGTTGCACATTTGCATGGTTTCAAGGAAGAAGAGATTAAAAATGCCCATGCATACATGCATCGAGTTTTTTTAAAAGATTATGGTAAAACAGAAATCATCTTAATTTTTTAATATAAACAGGTCACTGTCACTCTTCAGTCATTCTGTTTGTTTACTTATCTATTTAATATTACTGCATTGTACATAATACACTTAATCATTAATTCACTTTTTGTAAACTCCACAATGACTAGGGACTTGAGAGTTTCTATTTTCTTTGCTGTTAATTCCCAAGAGTAAAATGCACTCTTTAAGACAGAAAATCTACTTAGGTTGGGTGTAAGATAAAAATTCTCAAAATGCAATCTAGGACATAAACCCTGAACTTTGGAAAATCATCTTTATTTAATGAGGATTAGCTCTTTCCTCTCAGATGTTGATATTTTAATACTGTCAAATGTGTAATCACAAACTTAATAATTTTCAGCCATGAAATGAAATTACCAGGCAGTCCATATGTAGTAATTCTCAAATGTCTGTCTTCAGAGCCATCTGTCACGCCTTTATAAGGCCCTTCGAGTCAACCTAGAATGTTGAAATTGGCATAAAATAGGTCTTTGTTCATGGATGAAGAAAAATATTATTGAAATTTCCAATTTCATAAGGTTTTTACCAGCTTTTGTCCAAATCCAGCTCCACAAGCAAGAGACTCTCTGTAAGAAAGTATAACAGGTGTAACAAACCATCAGTTGGTAAGTCTTGATATAGCTTTTATGGTATATTTACCAGAAACTCAAAGTATTTTGCCGGGCAAAATACTGGATTATAAGCTCAGTATCTCATCTGGTGTAGCATTTGTATCAGATACTTTCATATTTTAGCCAAATATTTGTATCATTAATTGCATTAGAGTCAGCTAACCTGGGTTTGGTAGACGTCTGCTCATTACTTCTGACTTCTGAGAGGCACATGCAGTGAATAACCACGTAACACGTGGTTAAATCTGAAAGATGGCGGCAATGACTGGTTCTCTCTTTTATTGACCCTTTTCAGACTTGACATACCTACTACTTCCCTGCCAAAGAGAGCACACAGGGTATTTCCTAATAAAACAAAGTGTTCCAGGACACGAGTGGTTTAGGGACAGCTGACTTTTTGTAGTCTCGGGGGATGGTTTGGAGTATTCCATGCTGCTGCTGCCCGCAGCTGATCATTCAATTTTTCCAGAAAGTTGGGCTGTGACCTGAGCCATGGCCTGTAGGATGCGTGAAGTAAGGTTAGCAGCAAACATGGTGTCTTAGCCAGCTTTGGCCACCATGACAAAATACCACAGACTGGGTGGCCGAAATAACAGAAATGGAGTCCTTCCCAGACAAGCAAATGCTAAGGGCATTTGTCACCACTAGACCAGCTCTACAAAAAATATTCAAAAGAGTTCTAAATACTGGGATAGAAGGTCAAAATATACCAGTAGAAAAACACTGAAAATCATAAAATTCACAGGCTTTATGGAACACCAGTACAATAGAGAAAATACATATACAAGTCGACCAGATAACAACCAGCATGATGACCAGAATAGGGTCTTATATGTCTGTTAACTGAACATAAATCGTCTCAATGCCCCACTAAAAATATATAGACTGACAGGATGGCACAACTCAAATATCTGCTTCCCACTTAAGTCATAAAGACTCCTACGGACTCAAGGTAAAGGGGTGGGGGAAAATATTCCATGCAAACAGAAACCAAAACAAGCTGGAGTAGCCATTCTCATATCAAATAAAACAGACTTTAAATTAACGACAGTAAAAAAAGATAAAGATGGCTATTACATAATGATAAAGGGATTGATCCAATGAGAAGACATAACAATGTTAAATATAAATGAGCCTAACACCAGAATCCCCAGCTTTGTAAAACAAATTCTACAGTACCTAAAAAAAAGACATATGCATCAATACAATAATAGTGGGAGACTTCAACTCTCCATTGACAGAAATAGACAGATCATCAAGGTAGAAAGTCAAGAAAGAAACATTGGAGTTAAACTGGACTCTAGAGCTAATGGAACTAACAGACATTTACAGAACTTTTTATCCCCAAACTGTAGAATACACATTTTTCTCATTAGCACATAGAACATTCTCCAAGATAGACCATATGACAGGCCACAAATCCAGTCTCAATAAACTAAAAAAAAACCCAAAATCATATAAAGCACCATATCAGACCACAGTGAAATAAAACTAGAAATTAAATCCAAGAAGAACTTATGAAACCAAACAAAAACACGTAAATTAAACAATCTGCTCCTGAATAATCCTTGGGTCAACAATGAAATCAAAATGAAAATATAAAAATTTCTTGAAATGAATAATAATAATGAAACAAGTTATTGAAACCTCTGGAACACAGCCAAAGTTGTGCTCAGAAGAAAATTTATAGTTCTTAAGGCCTACATTGATAAGACTAAAAGATTACTTATCAATAATTCAACATCACACCTCAAGGAACTAAAAAAAAAGCAAGCAAACCAAAACCAAAAGCTACCAGAAGAAAAGAAATAACAAAGATCAGAGCAGAACTAAATGAAATTAAAATAAAAAAATACAAAAGATCAATGAAACAAAAATTGGTTCTCTGAAAAGATAAACAAAATTGATAGGCACTAGGTAGATTAATTAGGAAATGAAGAGAAAAGAACTCAAATTAACTTAATCAGAAAAGAAAAAGGAGACATTACAACTGCTAACATGGAAATTCAAAAGATCATCCAAGACTATTATGAATACCACTATGCAAACAAATTAGACAATGGATAAATTCTAGAGGAAAAGGATAAATTCTTGGAAACATACAACCCCCAAACTTGAATCAAGAAAAAACAGAAACTCTGAATAGACCTATAATGAGTAGCAAGATTGAAATAGTAATTAGAAGTCTCTCAATAAAAAAAAGTACAAAACCTAATGAACTCACAGCTGAAGTCTAACAGACCTTCAAAGAAGAACTGGTGCCAATTTTACTGAAGCTATTCCACACGATTAAAGAGAAGAGAATCTTCCCTAACTGATTCTACGAGGTCAGTAGCACCCTGATACCTAAGCCAGGAAAAAACACAACAAAAAAGGAAAACTACAGACCAATATCCCTTATGAACATAGACACAAAAATCCTCAACAAAATATTAGCAAACTGACAAAACATAAAATAAATAAATAAATAATACACTGTGACCAAGTGGGTTTTTTCCCAGGGATGCAAGCTTGGTTCAACATATAAACATGAAAAATCAAGTCAAGTCAATAATCATGATCCATTACATAAACAGAATTTATTTATTTATTTATTTATTTATTTATTTATTTATTTATTTATTTTGAGTTGGATTCTCACTCTGTCACCCAGACTGGAGTGCAGTGGCACGCTCCTGGCCACTGCAGCCTTGACCTGCTGGGCTACCGCAATCCTTCCGCCTCAGCCTTCCAAGTAGCTGGAACTATAGGCGCGCGCTACCACGCCCAGCTAATTTTTGATTTATTGTAGAGATATGGTCTCGCCAAGTTGCCCAGGCGGGTCTCGAACCTGCAGGCTCAGGCAATCCACTCACCTCAGCCTCCCAAAGTGCTGGGATGATGGGCTGAGCCACTGAGCCCAGTTCATAAACAGAATTTAAAACAAAAATCACAATAGCCGGGCACGGTAGCGTGCGCCTGTAGTTCCAGCTACTTGGAAGGCTGAGGCGGAAGGATCACTGGAGCCCAGCAGGTTGAGACTGCAGTGGCCAGGAGCGGCCACTGCACTCCAGTCTGGGTGACGGAGTGAGACTCCAACTCAAAAAATAAATAAATAAATAAATAAATAAAACAAAAATCACATGATTATTTCAATTGACATATAAAAAGCATTTTATAAAATACAGCATCCCTTCATGATAAAAACCCTTGGCAAAATAAACATAGAGGGAACTTTCCTCAAAATAATAAAATCCATATTTGACAAACCCACAACCAATTTCATCCTGAATGGAGAAAAGTTACACATGATCCCCCTCAGAACTGGAACAGGGCAAGGATGCCCACTTTTACCGTGTCTATTCAATATCATACTGGAAGTCCTAGCCAGAGCAGTCAGGCAAGAGAAAGAGTACCCAAATGAAAAAAGAAAAAAGAAAACTATCTCTGTATATTGACAATACGATCTTGTACCTAGAGAACCCTAAAGATTCCTCCAAAAGATTCTTGGACTTGATAAATGATTCGGTAAAGTTTCAGGATACAAAATCAACACATATAAATCAGTAGCACCGCTACACACCAATAGCAACCAACCTGAGAATCAAATCAAGAACTCATTTCCATTCACAAGAACAGCCAAAAAGCTAAAATACCAGGAATATATTTAACCAAGGAGGTGAAAGATCTCTACAAGGGAGAAACGCAAAACTCTGATGAAAGAATTTGCAGAGGAAACAAACAAATGGAGAAACACCCCATGCGCATGGATTGGAAGAATCAACATTATTGAAATTATCACATTACATTACCCCCAAAATCCTCAGATTCAATGCAATCCCTATCAAACTACCAACAACATTTTTCACAGAATTAGAAAAAACAATCCTAAAATTCATATGGAACCAAATAAGAGCCAGAAAACCAAGCAATCCTAAGGAAAAAGAAGAAAGCTGGAGGCATCATATTACCCTGACTTTAAATTATACTACAAGGTTGTAGTAACCAAAACAGCATGGTACTGGTACAAGGGCAGACACATGGACCAATGGAACAGAATGGAGAATCCAGAAATAAACCCAAATACCTCCAACCAACTGATCTTTGACAAAGCAGACAAAAACATAAACTGGGGAAAGGATGCCCTATTCAACAAATGGTGCTGGGAAAATTGGATAACTACATGCAGAAAAAATGAAACTTGATTCCTATTTCTCATCAGATACAAAAATTAACTCATGATGAATTATAGACTTAAATGTCAGACCTGAAACCATAAAAACCCCAGAAGAAAATCTAGCAAAAACTCTTCTGGACATTGGCCTAGACACAGAATTTATGGCTAAAACCCCCAAAGCAAATGCAACTAAAACAAAAATAAAGAGTGGGACTTAATTATACTAAAGAGTTTCTACACAGCAAAAGAAATAATCCACAGAGCAAACAGGTAACCTACAGAGTGGGAGAAGATATTCACAGACTATACATTTGACAAAGGACTGATACCCAGAATCGACAAAGAACTCAAACAACTCAGCAAGAAAAGCCAAATAACCCCATTTAAAAGTGGGCAAATGACATGAACAGACATCTCTCAAAAGAAGATACACAAATGGCCAACAAACATATGAAAACGGTTCAACATTACTCATCATCAGGGAAATACAAATTGAAACCACAAGGAGATACCACCTTACACCAGTCAGAATGGCCATTATTTAAAAAAATTTAAAGTAAAAAAAATAGATGCTGGTGTGGATGTGGAGAAAAGGGAAAACTTATACACTGTTGGTGGGAGTGTAAATTAGTACAACCTCTATGGAAAGTGGTATGGAGATTTCTCAAAGAGCTAAAAGTAGGTCTATCATTGGATCTGGCAATCCCACTACTAGGTACCTTACCCTAAGGAAGAGAGGTCATTGTATATGAAAGACACCCGTACTTGCATGTACATCACAGCACAATTCACAATTACAAAGATGTGCAGTCAACCTAAATGCCGATCAACCAATCACTGGATAATGAAAATGTGGTACATATACACCATGGAATACTACACAATCACTTTTTTAAAAAGAATGAAATCATGTCCTTTGCAACAACTTGGAGGCAGCTGGAGATCATCATTCTAAGTGAACCGACTCAGAAATAAAACACCAGTATCTGCATGTTCTCACTCATGGGTGGGAACCAAACAGTCACAAAGATGGAAATAATAGCACTAGGGAAATAAATAAAGAGGGAGGGGAGAAGGGTTAGGGTTCTGAGACCCAATCCCCACCACTATACAATGTGTCCCTGTAAAGAATACACATGTGTATCCCCTGAATCTAAAATCAAAAAATAAATAAGTAATAATAAAATATTTTGCCTCAAAAGAAAATAGTTTTGAATGGAATTATTTTATAGGTCGATAAATATAAGAAAAATAATTTTCACTGTTAAAATAAAACACATTTTTTAAAACTATGAATGTCCCAGTGTAGGTTTTTAATTTCATCGTCACCATACAGGTCATGTGCCAATGCATTGCTTCCTGCAGTGATGGAAATGTCCTATATTGGCCCTGTCTGATGTTGTAGCCACTAGACATATGTAGATATGGAATGCTTGAGAAACTGGTTTATGAGACTGAGGAATTGCATTTTCAATTTTAGTTCATTTACTGATAGACTGAACCTGTCAGGGCAACCACCCATGGCCACATGGCAAGAAACACATAGGTCAAGGAAGGTTTAATAAGTGTACTAATAGCTGGGCTTGGTGGCTCAGCCTGTAATCCCGCGCCTTGGGAGGCTGAGGTAAGTGGATTGCCTGAGCCCGTGGGTTCAAGACCCGCCTGGGCAACTTGGCGAAACCTCATCTCTACAATAAATCAAATATTAGCCGGGTGTGGTAGTGCGCCTGTAGTTCCAGCTACTTGGAAGGCTGAGGCGGAAGGATCGCCGGAGCCCAGCAGGTCGAGGCTGCAGTGGCCGAGAGCGGCCACTGGACTCCAGTCTGGGTGACAGAGTGAGACTCCAACTCAAAAAAAAAAAA